TTTTGATTTTAAGAGTAACATTAATCATCTTTGCCCAGAGTGGATGCAATTGATCCTGCACTAAGAAGGCCTGGACGATTTGATGCTGAGATTGAAGTGAGAATACCCAATGTAGATGAACGCTTCCAAATTCTCAAGGTCTGATGACTAATTTATGTAAATTTGTTCAATTGCAAGTGCCATCTCCTCATGTTATTAGCATTTGCATTTGAGATATTTCACAGTTTTCTAGTTGCCGTACTTCAAATCACGTTTAAACAAACAAAAAAAGGGGGAAAAAAGGTTTCTTATATATATTTGTTTTCATTTATTTACAGCTCTACACAAAGAAACTTCAACTGGATTCTGAAGTTGACCTACATACTGTAGCCGTATCTTGCAATGGTTATGTTGGTGCAGATTTATTAGGTTTATGTCGTATGGCTACGTATTCAGCAGAAAATAGATCATATGATGTAAATCAAGTTGATGCTCTTTGTACCATAAAAATGGATGACTGGAAGCATGCTATGTCTGTGGCTAAGCCCAGCATCACAAGAGGTGTTATGGAGAAAATTCTTGAGGTTTCTTGGGATGACATTGGAGGATTGAAAGACTTGAAGGTTTGAACCATAATCAACATCATGTTACTGATTTACATCAGATCAATAAGTAAAATCTCACTGTACTACACACGAAACAGAAAAAGCTCCAGCAAGCTGTTGAGTGGCCTATAAAATATTCTTCATCATTTGCAAGATTGGGTATATCGCCAACTCGTGGAATCCTCCTTCATGGGCCTCCAGGGTGCTCAAAGACAACCCTTGCTTTAGCTATTGCTCATGTTGCACAAGCTTCTTTCTTTTCTTTAAGGTACGATAAGAGTTATTCTGTTCACTAACATAATCACAAGGACTGAGTTTTTGACATTTAAGGTACTATCAAATGTTATTTGGTTTAGAAACATCATCAGATGGACTAGGATCTGACATTTGGGAGGTGAGGCTACGCATAGTTTTCATATCATTATTTTAATAGTTGCTTTTCGCTAGAGAATTGAAGGATGAGGGATTCGAAACTACTTTTGATAAGAGAAATTATCTGGTATCTAGGTAAATAACAGGTTTAAAATAATTTCGTCTCATGGGAGGTCAGAAACTGGAGATACACTGGTTGACATGGTTTTGATTTGCAAATGCTATTAATATCTATGTCCACTTCCAGGTTTCCTTCTCTTGGATGATGGTATTTGGTGATAAATTTGTTACAAAGAACATAATCAAGTACATTTAGATATTCTTTCATTTTAAATTATAAATGCCTGCTTTAAAAATGTCATAAATAAAGTTGCATAAACATGTCCTGAAGGCAAGCTTTTGCCACTGTTTGGTAAGATTAAAGGGGTGCTACGCTTAGATTAAATTTGTGTAAACACATTGTTATTCTTGAAAGTAGCAAAAAATCATTCTTGATTTGACTTGGTTTTTCAGCTAATTATGCACACATAATTGGTTGAATCATTTGGAAAGTAATAAATTTCCTTAGATTTTCTTAAAAAATGAAGTAACCTGCTTCACTTAGCTTGTCACACTGCTGTATTCATTCTTGTGCACGTGAAGCTAAAATTGTAGTTTATAATAATTGCATTTTCTGAGATTAGATCCTGCATCAGTCCTGCAGAGCTATATAAAAAGTACATTGGTGAGGCTGAAGCAATGTTGCATGATACATTTCGTAGAGCTCGTCTTGCTGCCCCAAGCATAATATTCTTCGACGATGCTGATTCAATTGGTGCCAAACGGTAATTGTTTCAATTTTCTTTTTTTCTTTTTTTTTTCCTGGCGGAACCTTACAATTCAATAGAGGCTGTGTACACTTTTTAATACATTATGTTTCTCTGTGCTGTGAACTTCAAGATCATCTTATATACTGTATAAATAATATAATTGTTTTCTGTTAAAAACATACTGAATTCCTCTTTGTTAATTTTTTTTTTTCCTGGCGGAACCTTACAATTCAATAGAGGCTGTGTACACTTTTTAATACATTATGTTTCTCTGTGCTGTGAACTTCAAGATCATCTTATATACTGTATAAATAATATAATTGTTTTCTGTTAAAAACATACTGAATTCCTCTTTGTTAATTCGTACAATCGCTGTGAATTGTCCAGGTGAATTATCTGAGAATTTTTATCATCCTGCTTAAATTTGAATTTATTTAGTTAATATGTTGATTGGTAATGATGTTCCCGACCAATTTTTCATGTGTGTGCATATATATATATATATATATATATATATATATCTGTGTGTGTGTGTGTGTATATATATGTATATATGTATGTATGTATGTATGAATGTATTACCATGTTTTCGGCTCAGACTCATGAGAGTGCTTTGGCACTGAATGATCCTGCTGCCTGATCTTTGGTAATGATGTTCTCGACCAATTTTTCATGTGTGTGCATATATATATATATATCTGTGTGTGTGTGTGTGTATATATATGTATATATGTATGTATGTATGTATTACCATGTTTTCGGCTCAGACTCATGAGAGTGCTTTGGCACTGAATGATCCTGCTGCCTGATCTGTCTATTGTGTTTGGGCTTGTTGGATTGGACAATCTGATTCTTATTCTAAGTGCTAGTTTTATAGTTGTTTATCATGTTCTGGATTGGACTTGGAAGAGACACCCCATCCCCACGCACCCCAACATACACATTTTCTTTAATTTTATTTCTAGTTTAAGAATTGCTATCGTTTTGATGGTTAAGGGAAAAAAAAAAAGCTCTGTAGCACAGACGTTTCAATTAGGATAGCGTGTCCTTGTCCGACACGTGTTGATACCGACACTTTTAGAATACTCTATCATAAACATTTTTCATTTTTTATTAAAAATATTATATATTTTTAACTCAAGGTTATTAGTAAATAACAAATAGGTACTCATATTTAAAAGATTTAAACTAGAAAAATTAATAACAAGTATAAAACTAAATTTATACTATATAAATGAAGAATTTTAAAGAATTTAATCAATGTGTCGTGTCGGTACTTTTTTAAAAAATCCTATGTCGAAGTATCTGACATGTATCGTGTCGAACACTCGTATCCGTGTCGGTGCATCATAGAAAAAGCCTTGCTTCATGCAGTTTGTTTTCTTGGAACTGCCTTATGTACAAATCCAGTTACATTTATTATGCCATTGAGGTATGTCTTTAACTGTTTCCTGAATTCTATTGCAAATTTTGATTTTCAATGGCAGAGGAGGAAGTTCAAGCGGTAACTCAAGAGTTGGGGATAAAATTCTAGCTACATTGCTAACTGAAATATGGATGGTTTAGAGGAGTCTAAAGTGAGTAATAATACTTGACATCCATATTGCAAATGATAAATTGGAGATGAGTCAACGATATCTTCCTCTGATTTCCTCTTGCTATTTTAGGGTGTACTTGTTTTGGCTCCTACCAATCTCGTAGATGCAATTGATCCCGCCCTTAGGCGTCCTGGACGCTTTGATGAAGTAAGCACTTTGTGGAACCCCACTCGTAAATTTCCTACGATGAGGCTATTGAATTGTCAAAATATTGTCGGTGCTTCATGTCCCACTGCCGGATTCAGAAGGTAGACATGAAATCATTCAAATCCATACATGTAAATGAAACACGAAACTGAACGATGAAGTTGGAACTCCGACAGATAGCTGAATGCACCGAGGGCTTCTCAGGGGCTGATCTGGCTAACTTGTGCAAAAGAGTTGGAATGATTGCTCTGAGCGAAGACATGTCCGCAACAACTGTGCATAACAGGCATTTGCAAACTGCTATAAGGTCGGTAAAGGGGGCAAGGATCAAACAGGAGTAAAGGGACGCAGAAATTGTTTCTCCGAGCTATTCCTGCAATCGTTTTAATCATATTTGCTGGTGTCAAATACATTTCTACACAAAGTCAAATAAAGATAAATATGTAATTCAGTAAAAAAAAAAAGGCGAACCGAGCCGGCTCATGCATAGACGAGCCGAGTTTGGAGGCAGGCGAGTCGGGTGGCTTGATTTATTTGATTTAACACCCGTAAATGGAAGGAGAGGTAACAATGAGCAAGTTTGATCAAATGAATGATTCTTCACGAAAAAGAACACAATACTATATTCGAAGACTTGAAACTTTGATATGTTTTGGACACTGATATCCGTGAAATTATGGCTATTCAATCCACACAGAAAAGGATTCTATTAATTAAAAAAAAAAAAAAAAAAAAAAGGCGAACCGAGCCGGCTCATGCATAGACGAGCCGAGTTTGGAGGCAGGCGAGTCGGGTGGCTTGATTTATTTGATTTAACACCCGTAAATGGAAGGAGAGGTACCAATGAGCAAGTTTGATCAAATGAATGATTCTTCACGAAAAAGAACACTACTATATTCGAAGACTTGAAACTTTGATATGTTTTGGACACTGATATCCGTGAAATTATGGCTATTCAATCCACACAGAAAAGGATTCCGTATGAGCAAATCGAACCTTGAAGTTTATTCAAATTTGGCATTCATATTCCTTTTGGTCTTGGTCTTGGTCTTGGTCTTATTTCTCTTTAGTCTCCTTCTGCCTTTGAGTCACCAATTGGACAAACCATCATTATTATTTATCGAAAGTCTCAACAAGGTACCAAATAATTTTCAATAATGACTTTTCAAGCCACAAAAAAGACTGCCACCTCACCCCACCCACCCCACCCCAACTCCCAAAATAGAAAAAATGTAAAATGAAATAAACAAACATAATAATTGGCATTCTCTAACAGCGATCTAGAAGAGAAAACAGTAGTTTTAGTTCGGTAGGTCATCTTGGATGAAACTTAACGAGTGTTTAGGTTAATGAAGCGATGGAATGGATGACATGACTTGAAATGATATTTACGCAATTGTTTCATTACCTTTTTCGTTATACGACTATGATAGTTATCCGTCCAATATTTAACAGAATTTTTTACGCGATGTTTTGAAATGTAGAAAAAGACACGGAAAATTAGCATCTTCATCTTCAAAAAAAGGAGAAATTATTGATGATTCTTACATCAAACAACAAGCTCTAGTTGCATCTATGTTGTATCATCATCACATGCAAAATGGTGATCTTCCTAATCTGGACCGTTCAATTTCTGTTAAGCATACTCCACCATCATCAAACAAACTGAAGAAGTTGCAAAAGAGATCTTATTCGGTTTCGGATTCCCGCTCTAAGGCTTTGCAGCTCATTCATCAGGTTCTGATTTTACATGAATTTAATTTCATTCTAATTAAAAATGATAAAGCTTTAGGATATTAGTGTCTTGCTATCTGATTTGTGATATATCTTTTCACTTGTGTGCTGATCATGTATGTTTTTCCCTCGAGAGGATTTCTTCTATCAAGATTTTAAGGTTTCTTTTCATCTCATCCATGAAAAAAAGGTCCTTAAAAGATACCGAACATCGCTGCCTCCTTCGCTCAGAACCGACAATTGATATTGCAAAAATATTCAGCTATAGTCTATCCATTTTTTGGGACCAACCTTGTAGAGGAACCCTTAAGTTTTACCATCTTTTAATGGTATCAATTGACAATATTGCTTCTATGAATTTGAATTGATGAGATCTTTTATTAGATTTTAGATGAAAATTTTGATAGTCAAGGCAAATTGCATTCTTGATTAACCATAATACAAGGCTAGGTAGTAGCCTGTAGACTTTTAAAAAGGTGAGAAATTTACGTTGAACATTAATTCAATGACTTATTTTATTGGAAAATTGTTGGCTACCCCCAACCCCAAGTCTAGTGGGCTACTAATAATAATTAATTTAACATTTACTTATCTTTATGGGCTACTTCAAAAGTCTTTAGTCTTTATGTCCTGCTCAAAGCAATTAAACTTTTTGTCATTTCAGTACTTTATTTTTCACATTTTTCTGTTTTCTAGGATGTAGGAACTGAGGAGTCTGATAAGATGCATTTTGTCCTAGTTCATGGGGGTGGTTTTGGTGCATGGTGTTGGTATAAAATCATAGCCCTTTTGAAAGAAAGCAAACACGAAGTTGAAGCCATAGAGCTTACTGGTTCTGGACTCAATTCATGTGACATAAATTGCATCACAACTCTAGCAGAATATGCCAAACCTCTTACTGATTTTCTAGCAAAGCTTGAAGATGGTAACAAGGTATGCTCCTTCTTCCTATGCTTCCTTTTCACAAGTGTGTGCACGTGCTCGCGCACGAACCTGCAACTATTCATAATGAATCCTATACTTTTGTATTTTTTTTGTTTTATTCAACTGTGCACTTCCAGCAATTTCAAATATTAAGCTAAAAAATTTGAATTCAGGTGATTTTGGTTGGACATGATTTTGGTGGAGCTTGTGTTTCATATGCAATGGAATTGTATCCAGCAAAAGTATCTAAAGCAATTTTTGTTGCAGCAGCAATGTTAAACAGTGGGCAGAGTGTTCTTGATGTCTTCTCTCAAAAGGTTTGCATCTTTCTCCTAAATATTTTGGTCGGGTTGTCACATCAACTCGTATGATATAATAAGAGACTCGATTGCATTTTTCTCTGTCATATCGATTCCTACATTTCTTCGAGCTAAGAAGATATTTGATTGCGCTTAAAAGTCCTCCTCAAACTTTAACGTACTCGACTAATTGTTTATGCTGTTGTAGTCGTGCTTAAATGATCTAAACCAGCGCGCTTGGAAGTTTTTGTATGCAAATGGGAAGAACCACCCACCAACTGCTATTGATTTAGACAAATCATTACTAGAAGACTTCTTATTTAACAGAACATCTACAAAGGTATTTATCATTATATCGTCCAAATGATGAATTTATAGTTTTTTTCCCACTTTTTTCGATTCATCTTATTTGAGTTCTGCAACTCTTCTTGATCCAGGATATCGCATTAGCATCAGTATCAATGAGGCAAGTCCCCTTTGCACCATTAGCAGACAAGATTTCCCTTTCTACAGAAAATTATGGTTCTATCCCAAGATTTTATATAAAAACAGAAGAAGATTATGCCATTCCTCTCCCTCTTCAAGAGGCCATGATCAAATCAAATCAGCCAAAGCAAGTATTTCAGTTGAAAGGCTCAGATCATTCACCATTTTTCTCGAGGCCTCAAGCACTACACAGACTCTTAATAGAAGTATCAAAAATCACATTGGTGTAAATACGACGGTCTACGAAAATGAGAAAGATAATGGATGCACAATATTTGGATTGACGGTGCTGCACATCTTACACGATAAAATGTTGAAATTATGTATATTATACTGTTAAATACGACCTAAATAATTCCCTCTTCCAAAAGGGACAGAACTACTATATTCTTGTCAAACTCCCAAATTTACTTTTCTAATATTCATGTACTGTTACCAGAATAACTCATGGAAATTAACATGATTTCAAGCTTAAAAACGTGCTCGATTATTATCCAAAATTGTCTTGACGCACATAACCAACAAAAGGAAAGGATTCTCTTCCAGAATTGGACGAGACTTGACAATACAATGGACCAAATCTTAACTTCTATTACTTCTTTAGTAACCAGTCCATTCTACTGAACAACCTGTAAGTGTGAAGAACAAACAATTGAATTCCTCTTTTCGAAGGTAATCATCTGATTCAGGCCGCATTTGGTGGAGGAGGAGGAGCGGGAATAATTCCCCATTTTCGCCGAACATCTTCCAGGTCCTCATCAAAGTGACGCTCGTAATAAATACACATTAAGTCAGAACATTGCATACCTGCCTGGAGGGCCCATGGGAAGTAATGCTTATAGAACAATCTCCTTTGCTTCTTGGTGAACCTTGCAGTACCCCCTATGACAGACAAGGCACACATAGGAAGTAGCATTTGTTCAAATTCTATAACCTTTAGTGCAGATTCACCAATCAAGTTGGTAGGAAGTCCGAATAGGGTGTGCCAGAAGTCATGAACCTCCCTCGCACGCATAGCAACATATGCTACTTCTTCTGTCTCCATGAACCGGACTGGTGGTCGATCATCGGGGGAGAAATTCCTTGATCCCATAAATTTTGCATAAGCAGCGCCAAAAGTATTAGGTGGTAGATCCCATGCATGTCCCACATTAGCGGATATGATGCGAGGGTGCTCTGACAGTACTGCCTGCAATAGAAAATAGTTCATCTCGTACAGTGAGACAATATATTATTTGTTAACATACATATTTTCAACTTTTGATAAGTCACAGCGTGTAAATAATGTAATGGTAAACCAACACAATCTTCATGACGGAAGTTATATGAGAAATGTAACCACGTCAGTGCATGTGGAGTTGGAAATATGTCAATTTTTATAAAGAGGTCTTCGTGGTCAATAGTTCAAGAATTACTTGTTCTAATGGGCAAGATATGTAAATTGGATGATGTTCTTGCCTAGTGTCACCATGCACAGCCTAAATTGCGAAGCAACAAATTTACTGAAATAAAATGCTTGCAAATAAAATCTTGAACAGAAATTTAGGATTACAAAATAACAGTATTTGACTTCGTTAGAACATGCATACAATATCTAAAGGAGCAGCTATTTTGCCTAGCAAAAGATTACGCTTCAGAGAGCAAATTTGTCTGACAACAGGCAAATTAATTTCTATAATGAGTTTATCGACCACGAAAAAGTTAGAAACTATGAAGTGAAAATACAAACTATTGCATGTCAATCATAATGTATGTTATGTTGTTCAAAGCCAGCTGATGCTTCAAGGATAGTTAAGTTGCCAACATGGCACTTAGTGTACAAATTGACAACAAGAAAAGAAAAGAAATAATAGGGAGAATTGCAGCCATGGTTCCAAATCTTTCCTTTTGTATCAGACTTTACCCAAACCTTTCCTTTTGTTCTACCTATAGTCCTAAACTTTTTATTTTGTAACAGTACAAAGACAAATGGATGGATTCCATTCATTTGACCTTTAGTTGACCCAAAAATGATTTTGCCCACATATATTTCAGTATGTGTAAAATGGTAACTTTGCATGTTATACATAAAATAAGTTAAAAATTAAATTAAAAAAAAAAAAAAAAAAAAACCATCTTCTCCCCATTCCCACACCCACCTTATCCACCCCAAAAATCAAACCAGGCCACAGCCAAACACTGCCAGACTCGATAAATTTCCAGTTGATGAGTCCCAAATTCTTCAAATAAAACACAAATCCTTTAAAACCAGAACCAAAATCACAAATAATAATAAAATTATCATTACCCTGTTGAGATTTTGGTTGCACTCAATCCAAGAAAGCTTCGATCTTTTCTTCACACAACTCAACAGCTTCGGCCCACAAATCAGGCATATTTCATCACAATGAAGCTCAAATATACAGATGGCTTTTGATTCCAAGCACAGATTTTTAGTAATTATATTTCATGGAGTCTGAAACTCTAAATTTGTTCATTCCAGACAAAGCAAACGCCTCAAGTGTCTTGTGGCTTAATCTTCATACCCATCATCTTCCTTTCTTCTTGTTGTAGTTGAAGGAAGGTAAAGGTAAAGGTAAAGGTAAAGGTAGAGCTAGTGGTGCCATGTAGATTTGATTTGGAATCATTGCCGGAGTTTCACAAATGGCTCAATTATCGGCATGAGTTCAGTTTTGTTGAGATTTTCCTTTGTTTTTCATTTTTGTCACGGAATCCACTTATTCCTCTCTTCTCAGAATCATCACTTTGCCCATAACAATCCCAGTGCAGCGAGCAAGGTGGTGTGCCACGACTTTAAATGCTTGTAGCGGTTACAGTGCAGCAGTGGAGGTCACCGACGTGGAGGAGGCGGGTAGATTTTGGTATTGCTTTGGTGGTGAGGTTGGGCGGGTAGGTGGTTGGATGGGAAGGTGCGGGATGGGCAGAAGATGATCATTTTCTAAATTATTTTTTGTTCAATTATTTAATATGAAATAATATAAATTTAACTTTTTACCCTTTTAAAATTGGTCAAAGCATAGTCAAAGTCAACTTTTATGGTCAACTAGCAGTCAAATGGAATCCATCCATTTGTTCTTATGTTGCAACAAAATGAAAAGTTTGGAACTGTAGATGAAACAAATAAAAGATTAAGGTAAAGTCTGGGACAAAATGAAAGGTTCTGGATTGCAGCTACACTTCTCCCAAAATAATATGACTATCCTTATAGTAAAATTAATATAGAAATAGCTGGCCATTTTAATCATTTTTAATTTCTCAGTATTTATATTAAAAATCTTGATTGGTCTACTTAGTGATGTAGCTGGTATAATATGGTCAGAAGGATTTTATTGCCATTTTTGCATTTAGGGAAACCAGCTTCATATATTCCAACAACTCTGATAATATGAAATCATTAGGTTGTGTAATTTGAGAAGGAACCTTCTTTCAGTAAGCAGTAAGGTCGTTTCAGGCATGTTTCAATAGATATCTCCTACTTAATCCATTCAATAACTTTCTTTCTGATGGATTTCATAAAATGCTACAGCATATTTAATTCTCAATGACCCACATATTAACTTTTGTTAAATACACACACTGCATAATGACCAAACCCTGAAATACAACTTCACTAGCATAGATGACAGAAAGATGAAGCCCTACTTGTCAAAGATACCAAGAATAACAGTACCACACCAAGAAATATGCTCATAAAAACTAGTAAATAGAACAAATAAGAATTACATAAACAATTATCATAAATTAAACAGTAAAATATCATTATAGAGTATTGAGAGATTTACCCTGCCTTCGGGACTCCTCTTCATCCTCTCGAGAACCCTCTCGAATGCAGGCTTTCCAGTTGTCTCTCCCAATGCAGCTACCAAATCTGCTCTTCTTGGATCTAGTAAAGCCCCAACAGCTGATCCAAGTGCAATGGCAGCCTGCTGCCACCCTTTGAGCCTAAAACGGGTGCCTTCTATCATTTTAAAAAACTATAATCTGCAATAAAAAACTTAGGTTAATGGGCTCAAAGAAAATAAGCAAATAAATGAACATGAAAAATCCATACATGACACATATACAAGTTTAGCCCTTGTTTGAGCCCATTTTTCCAAAACTCATTTCAACCACATATTCCCCAATAAAATATTTCTACACGAAAATCAAAAACTTTTTCTTATATTTTAATCACACATTTTCCAAAACATCACTATTCTAAAATAGATTTTTTTCCCCAAAATGGGGCTCAAACAAGTGCTTAGTTTTTTGAACTAAGAGAAAATCATTCCACCTTGACCATCATACAACACAAAAAAGGAAGAAAAATAATAGACACAAGTACAAAATTCACATTGTTCATTTAAATACATGATATCGTGTTATCATATCAATAATTAACAATACAATATCAAGGCCCCAAACCAACAAAACTAATGGTGGATATTACAATTCCCCCGAAATTAGAAATAGAAATAAATACCCAGTTGAAAGATTATAGTCCATCCATCTCATTTATATAGACTAGTTTTGTTTTTCACACGAATTAAGAAATCTTATATAATGTTATTGAAAAATCAATTTTTGCCAAAAACTTTCTTAGTTTATACTGATTTATATTTGTAAAATTTCAAGATTAAGTGGGGATAATGGTTATAATTATGCAAATTAATTAGGGGTATATTAGTAAACGAACAAAACATAACATTCTTAATAAAAAAATAGAACTATACAATTGGGATAAGAAAAAAGGGACAGTCAGCCTATATTAATGAGACAGGAGTAGTATAATAGGTCATTAGAAGAAGTGAAATATGATATAAGAACACGATTAATCTCAAATGTAGTAGAAAACTATAGCAACTTTCACCGTGTCTGAAAAAAGTATATAAGCTACCAGAGTTTATTTTACAAGTAGCAATTACTTGAATGGATTAAAGTGTTGATTCTAAAGAACAAACTTTTGTGATGTTAGGTTCGAAAAAATTCGCACAAGCCCCGTTTGCTTCAAATAACCAATAAGCACACTACAAAAAAATAGCAAAAGTCACTTTCATTAAAATTATCCAGCTAAAAATTAATAACACATCTAAATCCAAATTACAAATATTAGAGAACGATGCATGCACCACTCTGATCAAAGAGTTGGACAGCAATACACTAGAAGATGGAAATTCAAGTAATGTTCTATCTATATCATAGTATCATCCAATGGTTCATTTGTGATTCAGTAAAACAAAGCATTAATTAAGCAATTGAAATCTAGGCACTGTCAACTTCGAACATTGACTGACACGAAAGGTGGTGTGTATGTATGTATAAATTACACAGCAACATCAGAATAGGACCTCAATTTCAAAGATGGAAGCTCTTGGAAAAGTTTCCAGACATTACACAGAACCCTTCCCATATCAAAACTAAAATCCGAAAAAAGAGACAAACTCATCATCATAATCAGTTAATCACCAAACAAAATAGTAATTTCATATAATATACTAAAGCCATCCAACATTCTTCAAAAGAAATCCAGAAGGCAATAATAAACTGAGGAACCCTTTTCAAATTTCGAGAAAAAATCCAGATGGGCAGTAGATAGTAGATACTATAAAAATGGCAATCGTTCCAATCAAACAGGCTGCATCATGGATTGACCAGAATCTTAAAAATAACACTGCAGATTAGTGCACAATCTTGATTAATAAAGCAAAAAAAAAAAAAAAAAGGGGGGGGGGGGGGGGGGAAAAAAAAAAAAAAAAAGAAGAAGAAGAAGAAGAAAAAAAAGAAGGGAAGAAGAAGAAAGAATCGGCAGTGAAAATTGGTAATACCAGACATGTATAACAACTTGAATTCCAGTGATTATAGTTTCACAACAATCTCTACCACAAATCACCTTAAATGATGCATTTTCTTTACATTACTACTCCCCAAAACAATTTTACTTAATAAGAAGCTCGCTCAATATATTTTTGCTACAAGATTTCATTAAGCTGAGGAAATAACTGTGATTAGGAAATCCCAAAAGAACAATCTTCTACGTTTTACCCAAATTTTCCATTTTATAAATAAAAGTGATAATCAATTATATTTACAAAATTGATTAGAAACTGAAGTTTTAGAAATTAAAAAAATTTAGGTTTAAGAGATGATTACCACGCATAAGAAATCGAAAATTCTTCTTCAAATCTTTAACGTCGGCGTCGGATGTGGTTGTGCTGTTTCTCTTCTCAAGCCGTGATAGAAGATCTGCTCATTTTATTACTGCATAAGTACATAATTTTATTTTATTTATTTATTTTTTTTGGTACATTAAGCCACACTCATATGGGTGGGGGGTTGCTCGAATGTTGTGGCACACCTTGATGCACAAAAAATGAACAATGTTATAGTGATCAAATTTTTATGACGCAATGAATGATCGATAGTCACAATCGAGGGGGACCACTTTTTTTTTGGAATTTTTTATTCATGTAGCACCCACCTACATATGAAATTATGTCAACCATTATGTCAGCAAAATTTGGAAAAAGTAATTTAATCCATCGAAAATTATATATATCGAGCAAAACTTTTTATTATTTGGACCGTGCTACACAAACAGAGAGATTGTCAGCGTCCCTGATGTCCCATGACATATAAGTCCTTCTGTCCATCATTTTCGATCTCTTGAGTATTCTCCTAATTATTTTACCCAATTCACTTCAATTAATATTTAAATAGGTGGGTCGGTCCCATCTGTTGGAAAGATATAAAATATTATCCAAGCACCGATGAACACCATGCTATATATAAGCATTTACATATTATAATAGTTCTCCCTCTCCCTTTCCAGGAAGGAAGATGAGAAATTACGTTATTAACAGCATTAGCCCGTTTTACAAATGCAGAACTCGAATGAATTTATTATATTCTTGTCCTATTTCTCATTTTATTCAAAATCTTCCAACAGAAAAACCCAAAAAACTTGGCTTGTTTAGCATATGTGACAAAGTTAAATCAATGAGTATTTATGCAAAACCCATATCCAATTTCGATTGTTTTACAGCTCTTCGACACTTAAACACTAGTTCTTCTCAGAAGATCACCCAGGATTCCCTTGAAGATTCTGATAACAGTAAGTACCCTGTTTGATATCCTATGTTTGTGATTTGCTCACCATCTGTTTGTTATTTTACCTGTTTGGTGATTTTGAGGTTGGTTTTGGCGGTTATTTAACAGATACTACCTTTTATTTCTAATTCTAGTTTTACTTGTTAAATTGCATGTTGTGAACGAAAGTTTTGGTTATCTTCTAATAAAAAGTAAGGGAAAATTAATGTCTCCATCATATCGTAACTTTGTAATGCATAACTTAATCTGTGACTTTTTGTAGCCAGAATTGTTTACCTTAAGAATTAAGAACTTGTATTTTTCCATCATATATGTAGGTTTGTGCAGGTTTGAATGCTTGTGTTTATAGATCTTTGTTATAAAAGACCTATGGTATTGTGGAGATGCTAAATTTAAGTTGGCTCAGGCTTTTCGCATTAATATTTTAAGTGAGTTCATGCTTAGGACAGCTTTCCAAGGAAAAAGGTTGAATATATTTACAAAAATGTCTTGGTTTTTGGGTCGTCATGGTCTCATGGTACTTGGATTTTTCCCCACTATCCATATTCAGTTTTTAATGTTCAGTTAACTTTGGTTGTGTCATCTCGATGTTAAAGATCAAGATGACTCCAGTGAAGAGGTGGAGCCTATTGATTCTTGGGAAGAAGAGGATGATGCTGATCCTGAGGTATATGGGTTTAAAGTTTTAATTCTGGTTGCTGAATGTTTAGTTTTCACCATTCACATTATGTTACATTTGATCCTCGTATGTCATGTTTAGGTTGGTGATGGAGGTGATGGTGGTGGAGTGGTTCTACAAAATTGCCCTTGGGGTCAACAAGCGCTAGGCATATGCAGAGAGGTCCTTTTGCAGTTTGGCAATGATATGGAGCTCTATGCGTATAAAACTTCTCCTCGAGGATACATTTACGTGAGACTGGACAAGCTTTCAAATGAGTAAGTTCTTTGCCCCATTGCAGGGCTTAGATTTTTGTACTTTTGTGCTAAATACCTTATTTTTTTTAGTTATAGTAAATTTACTTTCGTCATCCTAAGTTTTGTGGAATAAATTAATGATCACGAACAACCAGTATCTGTTATTCCTGTTAACATGTCATAATTTCTTAGAAATGTATCCTAAATTCAGGATAAAATCTTCTCTAATCCTAGATACAATATTGATTGGACATTCGATCACAAAGTATGAACACAAGCATAAAAATTGTACAAGTCTCTTGATTATCTTAAAGTTTCTAATTGCAATTCCAGAATTGGTCAGTTGTCTCTTCTTCTTCTTTCTACCTGCAATTTCAATATGGACAGTTGCTTCTTCTTCCAACTATGTTTCAAGAGTTATTTTGCTTCATGAGCAAGTGAAAATTCAAAATGTGCACAGTTTCACTGTTTGGTCTCGAAATATTACTAAGAGCAAGTTATATTAGGTCTTCAGTAAAACTACAGTTTTTTTAATTCGAACTCTTCAATAAGAAAAGCATGCAATACCTGTATGCATACGTGGAACTTACACAACCACAAACATCGTTTTGATAGTTTGCTTGGTTTACAGAGGAAGATTGACCCATATTTTTGGAGTTACTGAATTGGACTTGTGCTTCTCAATTTCAAAGTAGCAGCATTCTCAGGATTATCTGCCATAATATCTCTAGTATGTACTTGCAACTGAAAAAAAAATGCTTATATCTACTGATACGATTTTCAACTATGTGTCATGTTCTACTTCCTTATCTCTCCCCAATCAGATATGGTTGTCCCAGCATGGAGGAGATTGAATCTTTCAGCCGACAATATAAAAAAAGATTGGATGAAGTAGGTGCCAGAGGAGAAATACCTGACGATTTGGCTCTTGAAGTAATTTCTTTGAAACTTATCTATGGTTTCCAGGGTTACAAGTACATGTTGCGTTGTGCCTTTTAAAATGAGATATCAATGGAGCAGATCGCCAACATTTTACAATTTAATTTCCTCTTGCCTTCTGCTATCAGATTTTCAATGCTCACTTGAATCACTTAAATTGCCTTTTGTTTGCTTCTGAAGGTATCGAGCCCCGGTGCGGATAGGCTACTGAGAGTACCAGATGACTTGTCGAGGTTCAAAGACATGCCAATGATGGTAAGTCATACGGAAGATTCAGACGCTAAATGCTCAGAAAAGACTGGAGTGTACTTTCTTGACTCCATTGAAACAGAATCGGGAAGCTGTGTTTGGAAGTTGGCAGATGTGAAGGAAAACAGAGACCCTTCAGCAAAAGGGAGACCAATGAGCCGCAAACAGAAAGATTGGAGACTTAAACTGCCGTATGCTAACGTTAAGAGGGTAACTCTCTATCTTAATTACCAGTAAAGGTGTTCTTCCATTTAGGAAAGTCCTTGTAAAATAAATCTGTGGCCCCTTGACGTCGACTTTTAATATCTATGATCTCGAGTGGAACTACTAATAGAAAATGAGGATCTGTTGTCAAAGAATGTTCTTACGAGGATTAGGGCCTGTTCTCTTTGTTGTTTTCAGACCATTTTCAGTTTTTAATTTTTGAAAACACTGAAAACACGTTTACTTACCTATTTTTAGAAATGAATTTTCGAAAACACGAAAAAAAATTACAAAGAAAACGCAAAATAGCCTTTTAGTCGTTTTGGCTGTTTTTAGTAGAAATCATGCCAAAACTTCAAAATGCGGGAAAAACAGTGTTTTCGCAAATAGTAGGATAGCTTAGTTGGTTGAGTCACGAATTATCTTAAGGTCACGAGTTCAATTCCGTTTCACCGCAATTTAATACAAAGGAATTTTCTTTTTATATGCACAGTACAAGAAATTTCGATTAAATTTCGCGTTTTTTTCTATCAATAGCTGAATAGCTCAGTTGATAGAGTCGAGGATTTTGAGATGGTCACGAGTTCGATTCCACCAACCTACTTTCAATACAAAGGATATTTTTTTAATTTTATTATTTTTAATGAACAATACAAAATCTTTCAAATAAATTGGTAGGTGGCTGAGATTCGAACCCTGATCACTAGCATGGAGTTTTAATGTCTTAACCATTATGGCAACCACTTTTGCTTTGTTGTATAAGTAAATAAACTATATATATGTTGAATAATTGCTTTTACAGTTTTTCAAAACTAGAAAGTAAACGCGTTTTTTAATTTTTTATTTTTGAAAATAATTTTTCAAAATGACAAAAAGAACGCATTTTCAACAATCTTAAAATGAACACTCAAATCACAAAATTCAAAATGAATTCAACACTAAAATCTAAAACACAAAGAGAACAGCCTCTTACTTACAATCCTTCTTGGAATTGTAAGAGTTAAGGCTGAACCACATGGTTGAACAAGTGATACATAATGTGCCCCGTCAGTGTTTTTACAATACAAAGATAAAGTACTGACTTGCTTTCCTTAAGTTTTAAGATTGTGTGAATAGCTTTATTTGTCTTCTCTTAGCTTTATAATTGACCCTCGGGTTTAAGAACCAGACCCAACGGAGAGGGGGAAGGGTTTCAACTCACCACTACACTAGGTACTATCGGCCTTTTGGTAGCAGCCACTGGAGCCATATAATTTAGTCATTTAACACTTCTTTGTCCCCTTTTTTTTCTCCAGCTCATTGCCAGCCACACGTTCACACTATAAAATAATGCATGTAAACCCGAAATTGTTTCCTACATTTTAATCAACATTCTCCAAAATATCACTAATCCAAAATATTCCCCCACCCCTGACACCCCAAAAAAAAAAAAAAAAAAAAAAAAAAACTCAAAAAGGGAGATAGACATGGGCTTAATTATTTTCTGATTTTTTTTTCTCCTCTTTGGGAATTGAGAGGCTTAATCATCGAAGTATTACTATCTTTGGGCCTATTGGCCCATGAGCCGTGTATATATTTCTATTTTTTCATGTGAGATAGATATTTCTTTTTTCACTAAGGGTACGATTGGCAAAATATATAAATGGTCAAACTTCAACTAAATGTACATTTCAATGGATCCAAAAGTACTATTTACTTATTCACCACTAATTCCTGCTTATTTATACATTAAATTGTTTATAAATTCTTTCCAATGAGAGGCTTAGTGACTAACTGACAAATACATAGAAATGACTTAATAAATTGTCTAACCATAGTAAATAAGCTAATTGACAGTATAATATAAAATTGAAGAAAATATACTACTAAAATGTTTGAATGGTATGATTAAGAGGGAAAATTTGAGATCTTCAGCTTCTTGGTTGGTGTTTAAGAGTATCTCCAGTATATTTTATGGATTGTATTTAGCTAGTTGGAGTCAAATTGAAAGATTTTCGATCGATATGATGTTGATATATTCTACAATAAATAAATACTTAACTCCAAAATTACTGCATTATGCACTACATCGATAGCTATCTAGGTGTTTGTTATTTCTTTAAAATAAAAATAAAAACATATCAGAATCTAGAAAGAAAATATTAATTTATTGAGTCATTCTGTCTAACAAATTTTCTTAATCTAGACAGAGTTCTAGGTAATATCCATTAAATCTCTACCACGTTAGCTAGACGGAGTCTATATCAGCTTGTCTAAAAGAATTTTTTGAATACCGTCCAATTGGATCAAGTGAATTCAAAAATACATGTATTTACATTCCAAAATTCCTTCTCTTTTCAGGGTTAATTCAAAGAGAATCCTGTACCACTGTCATGAATATATGCTTCGTCCGACTAAATATGAGTTTCGAACCTATATTTATAAACAAAAAACTTTAGTCCGCATATAATTTAGATGGTACAAAAAATCAGCATCAAAGAAAAGGGGACATGTCTATATTTGGCAGGTCCCTTGTCATACCATAGATATATTGGTCGACAAGCTAACAAATATTTATTTTCATCCTTTTTAACATGAAGCAGACTTTTACTTGACACAAACTGACAAAAAATTGTACATTTATTTTAAAATATTATTTCAATCAAGCATTTACTAAGTCTCTTTCCATATTAACTTTTGCAAGCAAAATAATAAAGTTTGTTGGCTTGTTAATGAAAATAACATTGGGAACTTAGTAGACATTAAAATGCCCGTGTAACAACGACAATGGATAAAGTCAATTATAGGACCACTAGATAAGTACTTATTTGGAAAAAAAAAATATCTTACAAATTAGTTAGGACCAAAAGCTAGCTTTACTTTATTTTTTTGTATCTACACTCCAATTTTCTACAATGCTCTGTCAATTGGACACGGATAATCACTTAGTTCTAGGTTTATGAAGATGTGTTGTGAAGTGCTCGATTTTCATTTTTCATTGAGGTGAAACATAACCTTGTGCTTAAGAAGTAGACGTTCACATGTTAATAAGAGATTATTTCGATCTGTAAAATAAGGTTTGAGATAGACGAGAGATTACAGAAGAACGTATTTGATTCAAAAGATCTAGTCCATTTCAACTAATTACTTCATCGATATTATCATAAATTAAAAAATATAGTAGCACAAAGATAATCAAATTTTCATCTTTCACCGCTATTTGAATGATGTAGTGCACCATTTGTTGCATAAGAGGTTTGCCCTTTGTTACTAATTCAAGAATAAAACCACAAATAAAACCGAAGTATTTATAAGTCTCAATTGTCATTATTGACACTACAAGATAAAAAGGCCTTTTGCAACATATAAAAGACAACATTCATTATTTGCATGTTGCTAAAATGAGTCTATTGCAACATTCAGCAAGTATATGTTGCTATTGCAACATTCGCTATTTGTCATCGTTCAATTTCTTTTTGCAACAAGCAATGCGCGTTGCTGTTAATATTTTAGCAACATGCAACAAATGTTGTTGTTAATTAGTTTTAGCAACAAGCAATGCGGGCATTGCCATTAGATGTTTTAACAACGTGCATTTGAGCTTTGCCATTACACCTTTAGCGCATGTTGTCGTTAAATATTTCAATAACGTGCATATGAATGTTATCATTAATCTTTTCGCAACGTTCATTGCACGATGTAGTTAAATATTTTAGCAATGCGCATTTGAATGTTGCCATTAATCTTTTAACAACGTGTATTGCACATTGTCATTATTTTGTAATAGCAATTTAACCGATCTAACCAGCTTAATTCAACCCAATCAACTCAAATAAAAAACCTAAACATGCAATACCAATCTCTATAGAGCTTCCCCATTTGTGTCGTCTCGTCCCCTTCTCCTCAACACACATAAATGAAGTCTTGTCCATCCCATTACTATTTACTTCCCTTACATTGAAATCTTGATAAAATTTTCTCCTTTCCTCACCTACCAAAAAATCCCCAAAATTCAGTTCTACTAAAACATCAATGACCACGGGAAATGTAGGTTGCTAAATTATCAACAATGGGCAATGAACGTTACTAATACATCAATAGCAACAGGTATTGAACGTTGCGAAAACATCAATAGCAACACGCAATGAACGTTGCTAAAACTTTAACGGTATACGTTGCAAAAAACTTTTTGCAACGGTCTTTGAACGTTGTCGTATTCTTCTACTCTACGGCAACTTCGAATCCCGCAATATACGCCCGAATGTTGCAAAAGGGTTTTGGCAAAGTTTTTTTTACCGTTGCAAAAGACTATTTTTGATGTAGTGTGAAAGTTTTCACATTCTCCTATGATATCTCTACTATCATATTTATAAGAGACTTCTGCTCACTACTATCATATTTATAAGAGACTTCTGCTCACTGCAATCACCTCTAAGATTTTTCACTTTCATCTCATCATAAGTTTGTGTCGTCATTTTTCGATATTAATAAACTGATAGAGAAGTACGTCTCATTTCCTTCCATCTAGGTGTAACTTGCCAAAGAAAATATCGTACTTATACAAAACTATTCTTACAACATCAAGTCTCGTTAAAAAACACACATGAACAAACATAGATAAAATAGTATCGAATTTTGGTATCGATTTACACAACACAATGAAGTAATTGACATGAGAGTATAATGTGGCAGATGAAAAAATGGGAGTGAGTGAAAAAGACAATAAACAATGGGATGATAGAGTCAGCAGAATTGGATGTGAAAAATAAATATAATATAATTGGACAAACATATATGCCCCAGATTAAGATTAATCCCTGGATAAAAGTGATCTTTTTACTATGATTTCTGCCAAGATTTAAGCCTAAAATGGTCATTTTTTTCAATTATTTTCATGTCAGTTATGAATAAAAATTAAGACTAGAATTAAGATAAAATATGCTTAAATTTAGACAACTCCCAAGGTTTGATAAGGCCACACTAATTACGAAGAAGAAAAGATTGGGAAAAAGAGAGAATATGTTGAGGTTTGATTTCAGAAACCTCAATTATATGGACGAGTATGATGAGCGTATTGAATATCCTCTCATTTATTTAAATTTTGATAGGATACTTGACCTTTGAATGGATGAGTATTTGAGTTCTTGATCAATTTTAACTATTACCTCCTTATATAAATTTATATTTCATACGCTAAACCACAATTCTTTTGTCTATT